ATATTATAGCATGTCCATTCAATGAAACGTCATGAATATTAAAGAATGAAATAGTTCTTCATATATTAATATAGAAGGATTACTAGGATACAGTGCTAAGTGAAAAAAGCAAGATACAAAACAGTGTTTACAATATGCCATAAATTGTATACAAACAGATGCTTGTGTACATTTGATAAAATATGTAGAAAGTATCTCCAGAAGGAAATGTAGATTTCAGGACAAAATTACCAGGGATAGAGAGGGACATGACATAATGATAAAAGGATTGATCAGTCAGTAAGACTTAGCTAGCAATCCTAAATATGTATGCACCAAGCAACAAAGTTATGAAATATGTGAAGCAAAAACTGATAGGAGAAATAAACAATTCCACAATTACAGTTGGAGCGTTCAGCATTCCTCTCTCATCAACTGATAGAACTAGACAGAAAGTCGGCAAAATATATGGAAGAATTCAACAACACTAAGATCTAATTAACATTTATGGAATAGTCTACCCAAAATACATGTTGTTTTCTAAGCACTCAGAACTTACACCATGATAAATCATATCCTGGGCCATAAAACAAACCTCAACAAATATAAAAGAATTTAAACCATACAGAATGTGTTCTCTGACCACAAGGGGCTGAATCTAAAAACCATTAACAGAACTATAACAGGAAAATTCCCCCAAGTTAGAAACAAAACAGTATACTTCCAAATAATGCATGGATCAAAGAGAAAATCTCAAAGAAATTAAAAAATTCACTGAACTGAATGAAAACGAAAATAGAACACATTAAGATACTGTAAGATGCAGCCAATGCTAACCCTTATACTTATATTTGAAAAGAGGAAAAGTCTCAACTCAGTTTGTTGCTGTTATGGGCCGTGGAGTCAGACCCGACTCATAGCAACCCCTCCTTGGGTTTCCAAGGCAGTATCACTACAGAAGCAGATTGCCCAACCTTCCTTCCAAGGAGTGGCTATTGGTTTGAACCACCAGCCTTCTGGTTAGCAGTCAAGTGCCTTACACTTTGTTGTCATTTAAATTTGAGTATGGTAGTTTCATTCTTACTATGTTTATCACATACTTTTTTTAAGTGGTGCTTTTTCTCATTTTTTTCCCCTTATTTTGGTTAAATATATTGCTTTAAATTCTTGGTATACTTGAATGATGGCATGAATTGCAGAATCTTTTTGCCTTTTCTGACTTCACAGTCTTTTATTTTTACTTGGTAGTTTAATTCTAAATTCATGAATAATTAAGTTTGATCTTACCAGAGGATACCATCTGTCATTTGCACTGTCATATTGTGTTAGGGTTTGTGAGGTCTGCTGCAAGTCATCTTGCCAGTGGCCCTTGGCAATACCTAACTTGAGCATCATAATTCTATATGGTGTCTGTCAGTGTGCTATTGAATGGAGTGGGTCAGTTTTCAGAGGAAGATTTTATTTATTTCTGTGATTGCCTTAGTCAGTTACCACCCATCAGGCTTTTCTAGCCCATTCTGATGAGCCCTGTAGTTCCAGCTTTCTCTCCACTTCTGATTCTAGACTCTTTAAGCTCAGTCCCCAGAGTACCACTTTACTCTGTCTTCTTTAGTCATGCAGGAATTTAACCTTTTTGACTTATGCCACTTTTTATAATTTAGAAGTTCCAAGATTGTAAACATGGTTAGTGAGTTGGAATGAGAAAAAATAGCGAGTGATTTCTGTCCTTTTTCTTTACGTTTCTTTACGCTATTAGTTCAAGATGCCTCTCTGAGAGAAAGGCTATATAGCTTTGTTATTATTCATTTATAATAAACTGAAGATTTCAGAAAAAGCTACCTTAAAAAATAATTGCATATGTTGACTAGTTTGTTTTGGAATAATTTTCAAGGCAAATTTGCCACAAACTGAAATACCTTCTTGTTTAAGAAAATTCTGTAGCTTGCCTTACTTTGACAACTATTCATTTTGAAATTATGCACCAAGGGCAAATGAACTTGAGAGCTAACAGTGAATACTTGAGCTCACAAAAAAGTATAGCATTTAATTTTATTTTACTTCTATAGCTTTTTAGATTTTTTTTTTTTTTTTAAATTTCCATAGTAGGAAAGCTAGTAGCTTAGTAGAAGAAAGGAAAAATCACTTCACTCTCTGAGATAATCACAGTTAATTCTTGGCTAATCATCTTATTTCTCAGAATATACATTAACTATACAAATGTGGCATAGTGCCTAAGGCATTTGACTGCAAACCAGAAGGTTGGTGGTTCAAAACCACCAGCCATTCCATGGGAGGAAGACTGGGCAATCTATTTACATAAAGATTTACCACCTTGGAAGCCCAAAGGGGTCGCTATGAGTTGGAATCGACTTGATGACAGTTTTTTTTTTTTTAATACAAATGTCACTCTTCTAACTTAGCAAAGTGAAATCATACTGTACATATTATTCTGAAAGGCTACTTAGTATTCTTTCTGTGGATTTGATACAACTTGTTTAGTTAATCCCCTATTTTAGATCCTGGAGTATCTTTGTATTTGCATGTGTATTTGGGGGACAGAGGCACCACCTATTTTGCAAGGATGTTAGGGTTACATAAGATAATGTTTACAAGGTGTTTAGCAGAGAACCTGTCATAGAGTAGTACTCAATAACAATATAATATGCTATTAATTGGAGACCAAAAATGTTGTTGTTGTTGTTATGTGCCGTC